GCATCCACCCACTGGGCATCATCTTCAGGTGAATCAAAGATTCTGGCCATGGGGACTTGAGCAGGGCCTGCCTGGCACAGGCAGAGGGCCTTGGGCATCCCATCATCCCATTAGATAGCAAACATACAAGGACACACCAACGGGGCGGATACACACGCCTCCCGAGGGGCCTCATCCGCTCTCCAGCACACACTACACACCCGTGTGCCAACAGTCCTGGGGACGTCCCTCCTGGGCACTCCCATCACTGCAGCCCGTCCCCAGGGCAGACTCCCGCACACGGAGGAAGAAAGGGGTTCGACTGGCCACGATCGAGGAGGTGTCTGCAGGTCTCAACTCTCTGGGGTAACTTTCAAACCCACATTTCCAGTTGAGAACCTACTTCTGACGTGTATCGCTTGGAAAGTGAGAACTTGGCACTGGGTCCACTGACACCCCCTTCGAGTCTCAGGGGCTCAGGGGCCACAGAGTCTTGGTTCTGTCGTCCTCCCTGTCCTGCTCAAGCACACAGCGATCTGTAGCTCCGCCCGCTCAGCTCCCAGGGGAGGCCGGGCCAGCCTCCTCGGACAGACGGACAGATGGGCAGGGAGGCAGTGACTGCAGAAGAGCGGTTCTTCCTCCTCGGCTCTGGGACCAGAGACGAAAGGGAGCGCTGAACTTCCCTTGACCTCCCGAGAGACTGGCCTTGAGCTCACCAGATGGCACTGCTGCCACTCAGCGAATACATGCACAAATCCAGGACAGAGCCTGTGGTTGGGGGAAACGAGGGTGCTGCCCGCCCTCTAGCCTCCTGCTGGCACGAGTGTATGGAGAGGGAGGGAGGGATGGCACTGGCAGCATGAGAGATGGCACAGGCGGCATGAGAGATGGCACAGGCGGCATGGATGGCACAGGCAGACAATACACCACTCCCATAAAGACCCTGTGAAAACCAAAGCCCAGAGAGGTTCTGTGACTAGTCCAGGTCTCACACTGCCACTGAGCGACTGAGCTGGGACCTAACACCCTTCTGTGCGGCTCCAAGTCCACAATCCGGGGGATGACAGTAGAGTGTGGGCGGCTCCACTTCTTGTCCCACTGGTATCCCCCCAAGTGGCTTGGCCCTGTGCGCCTGGAAACAGACGTAAGGACAATGCCCACTTCACAGGACGCTGTGCGCACGTGTGGGGACACCTGGGACGGTGTCTGCACCTGGCGGGAGTGACCCTGCCTCAGGAGAGAGCTGTGGCCTCCTGGTCACCTGATGGGGCTCTTCAAAGCCTGCTGGACTGTCCCCACCGGCCACACCCACACCCGCCTCCTGCTGGTGCCTCCTTCCTCCCCCGCTGCTGGGAGGCCCTTCCCCCAGGTCTGTGTGCGCCTCCCTCCCCTCCCGTCTCCCTCCCTCCTCCGTTCTCTGCTCAAATGTCACCTACAGAAAAGGCCCCTTTGAAAATGGCACCCACCCCCACCCGGCTTTTTCACGGAGCAGCCTCCTGTGCAGTTCCCTTCTTTCGCGTACTTATTGTTCACCTCCCGCTGGCGAATGCTTACTCCTCAGGGAAGAGCAATGGATTCTGTTTGGTTCACAGCTGCATTCCCGATGGTTCGAAGCATAGGTGACTTCACCCCCAGGGGACACTGGGCCTGTCTGGAGACATTTTCGGTTGTCGCAGTGGGAGGAGGGGTGCTGCTGACACCCCACAATGCACAGTCCAGGCCTCTCCCCAAAAGAATAATCCGGCTCCAAATGCCAACAGTGCCACAGTCATGTGCCCTTTGCTCACCACAGTAGCCGGCATGTATATAGTAGGCGCTCATACATGCAGTGAGGGAAGCACGAGGAGCTGTTGTCATGTTATCACTGTTATTTAAGAACGGATGTGGGTGAGGATCATCTTTAAGAATGGTCGACAGTTGAGAGTTCATGGCCAGAGGTGATAGGGTCTGAGCTCTGCCCGCAGCAGCACCAGGACGGGCCGCCACCTGCTCACTGCTGGGCCACCACGGGCCAGGATGAGTCCATTTTTCAGGTCCCCCCACAGCTCCAGCCCAAGCTACGCAGCCTGCCCCTCCCACGTAAAGCCTGCCTGTGGGCCCCCTGGGCAGGGCCTGTCAGTCCTCACCCCCACGACCCCCTGAGTGAGGACCCCCCTACACAGTCTTTTGGGGTGACCCCGGCGGCCCCTCCCAGCCCAGGGAGCTACAGGTCCGAGGGAATTGGGGCGTTGTTGCTCTTTTCGAGGACGGGGAGTGCGAGGGCTGTGGATGCTCAGGAAGGCACAGGTGCTGGAACCCCGCTGCACGGCTCAGCCCAGGCCTTTTGCTGACCTAACAAATCACACTGACAGCGGCCTCGGCCGGAGAACACCACCGATGGGCTCCTTTCAACTCGGTGTGGCCGCGGTCTATGGATGGGAGAGCAGTGCAGAAAGGAAGGATGCTTTGCTTTGGGCCTAGATTGCCTCCAGAAATAGGCTCTGAGGCCCCACCCGGCCACTGGACTGGAAGCCTCTGGAAGCTTCTATCAACACCTGTGCTCTCAGCAGGCCACCCAGCCCACACTGCCAGCAGGAATTCCCACCCGAGGTTCACAGCTTTCCCCGCCTACTGCCTGCCCCAGCCCCCCACGCGTTTCCTTCTCCCAGGGGCCTCCCTGGGCTCCCAGCTGGGCCCTTCTCTGTAAACTCTGAGGCTGGGAAAGTGCCCCTTTCCCGCTCTTCTGCCCTCTGCCCGCCCCTGAAAGCTTTTAAACAATTCATCAGTGCTACGGTTTAGCAGCTGACAAAACCGAGCACCAGGCCAGGAGCCGAGGGAACGAGTCTCTAATGGTGGAATATTGGGCAGCAGGCGGCTAGGTTTGGGGGAACAGGATGATGCCCGGTGGGCAGGAGTTGTCCTGGGGCTCCTGCAGTCACAGGCAGCTGGCCTCGATTCTGCCAGGGAAACAGGCTGACCCCAGACCCAGGATGAAATAAAACTGCACACTGGTGCCCCGTGACCACCTGGGAATGAGTGCGGGACGGGGGTGGGGGCGTAGGGATGTAAGGGGGTAGGCCCAGGCTGGAGCCCTGAGGCAGAAATGCCAATTCCCCCAAAGGCAGGGCTTGGTGGAGACTGGGTTCCAAGTCTCCCACCCTCTTTCTCTGGGACTCCAAGCCCCACCCGTGAGCTACCCGGACACAGACATTTACATGCTCCTCCAGCCCTCAGGATGGCATGAGGGTCCTAGCCGCATGACCACCTCCCTCAAGTGCAATGTCGGAGTCAGGCCGGGGCAGGAGGAAGCAGAGACACCTGCCCTGGACACCCCCAGTGAGCTGGACACGACACCTGTGTGCTTGCTGTCCAAACACCCCAGCCCCATGCTTCAGATGAGGACACTGAGTCTTGCTGCTAGTGATCCAGCCGGGGTTGCAGCCTGCTTTCCACCCAGACAGAAGGCCTGCCTGCAGCCAGGTGTGGACGATTCAGCCGATTCTCCCCTCCGCCCTCCCCACCCCCACCTCAGCCCCAGATCACAGGCCGGGACTCACAACCTGAGGATGGCCCAGCTCTCACAAGCCGGCTGCCAGCTGGCGGTGCCATGGATGCAGCCCACCAGGATGCCAGGATCCTCACACACTGGACATGTGTGGCACCCTCGGGGCACCCACTACCTTCCCCGTGTGAGACAGAGGCAGACGTTTGCGGTGGGGATGTCTCGGGCACAGTAACAGATGTCACCCTTTCTAGGCACCCTAGGGACCTGGCCCTAAAATGGGATGTCCCCAGCCACCTCCAGCTGCCAAGTCAGCCGGAAAGCGAGGCACAGCGAGGGCGTCGCTGGCAGGCTCCGGGGAGCCGGCTGGCTGTGGTGTCAGCAGAAAGATGCCAGCAACCTGCCACCAAGTTGCCCGTGGTCCTGAGGTGTCCTGACCCCAGTACATCAGAGGGATCCAGGCCAAAGTCACCCCTCGCCCACCTCCAGGGCGGTCTGGGATGTTTGCTCATTGAGCCCTGGGGTTTAGGGACGTGAGGGAGCGAGCCTGAGGCCGTCTGGAGGGTGGGCCCATCTCCGGTTCCCCGGACAGCGTGGAGCAGGAGCGGGCACACGGCAGCTGGAGGGAGGGTGACATGTGGGGACCTTGTCCTGAGACCTGCTCGCATGGGGCCACTGATAATCCAGTGCCAAGTGGGCGGATCCCTTCCCTTCTCTGAAGATCGGCTTCTCCAACCATAAAAGGGGACAGGAGTGCCCAGCAGGCTCTAGGGGGCAGATGAGAGCGTGGCTGCACCCAACCCCGGAGCAGCACCTTGAGAGTGGCCAGGCTCAGAACATGGGCCTCCTCCCTCCCAGCCAGGTTCCCCAACTCTCAGCCCCAGAAAGTGACCATTTGATCATCAGTCCCAGCAAGTGATCGTCTGACTTCACTTACAAAATTCTACCGAACTGCGTCTTCCTCGAGGGCCAGATCAGGAGGAGGGCGAAGAGTCCGATCGAGTAACCAACACGGGGCTTTGGAGCCACTGGAGAAAGTAGCGCATCGGCCGCGGCTCCCCCTTGGCCGCCACCCCGGCTCGCCCGCGCGTCCCTCTCTGCTCCGTGGCCCCTGGCAGGGACCCTGTCTCCAGCCCAGCCGGACCCAGGCAGCCGCCCCGTCTCCACAGCCAGGAGGGAGGGGCGCGGGGTAGGGGGACGGCGGGGCGGTCGGACGGGCGGGCGGGCTGTGAATTCCACCTGCGTAGACAGCCCAGCTCAACAGGTGACGGGGGCTGGCCCTCCCGCATCGCCCGGTAATCCCTGCAGCCCCGTTCAGCCCGCCCGGAGTCTGCCCTCAGCTTCGGAGTGGCGACAAGAACCGCCAGCGGCGTCGGCAAAGGGGCATCGCCACCTCCGCGCACATCACTCACTCTTCCCCCCGCGCAGCCCTGCCCGCACCGCGCGGGACCACCGGCCCCCGCCCCGGCTGCGCGGTGCAGGGGGAGCCGGGCGGCCGGCGCAGGGGACCGCGGAGCCTCCCGGTCTCCCCGGCTCCTACCTCGCTGGAGCGGCCGCGACCCGATTCTGGCGCCAGGCCCCCGCCGGTTCCGCGTCTCGGCGGGAGGGACCGCGCGAGGCTCCCCGGCGCCCGTCCGGCCGGGTCCCGCCGAACAGCTCCGCGCCCGCGACCGTGTCTGCAGCCGCCGCGCGCCAGCTGCGAACTCCGCGGGCGAGGGCGGGCCGTGGGCGGGCCGTGGGCGGGGCCTCCCGTCTCCGCGCCGCCGGCCACCGCGGGCTTTTGGACCCTGCGGAAGCGGGGCTCCCCCCTGGAGCTGAACACCGCCGAGTGGGGTTTGCTCAGCCTTGGGTCCAACTTACCTTCCAATTCCAGCTGTTACTGCCGCTGCTGCTTAATCATAACAACCGCCACCACAATGCCACCTAGCATTTATTGGACACTCCCTGTGCACGGGGCACTGTGCAAAGCGCTTTGCATGCATGAAGTCATTGGACCCCCACAACAACCCCATTTTGCAGACGGGAAAATGGAGGCACAGAGCAATGGCTTGTGCTGCAGGACACACAGCTGGAAAATGGCAGAGTCAGGATTGCCGCTCCGGTCTCTGCGGCTCCAGGAGCCGTTCTGTTGAAGCCTCCCCATGTTTTCTGTCTGTGCGGTGTTAAGCAAGTGGCTCCTTAAAGGCAGGAGGCCTGCCACATAGTAGGTATGCGGTTAACACGGTTGAATGAATGACTGTTGAATGAGAGCATTTAAGGTGAACCAACCAAAAAAAGAAAAAAGCAAACCCCCAAACCAAAAAAACAAAAACAAAAAACTGGTGAAGCTGAATCAATGACATGAGAAGATGAAAAATGGGCATAGCAGCCAGGAGATGTATCGTCTCAACGTCTGCATTTAATATTCCCAGCAAAGGCCAGGGACGCTGCCCTGGGATCCAGGTCAGCAGCAGAGTGTGACCTGGATTAGGCAACCGCTGAGTGTGTTTGGGGGTGAGCAGACTGCCTGAGGGTGGGCATGAGGGAGGGGGCGGCTGGGGCAGTGGGCATCCTCCCTCGTGGGCTGATTGAGGGATATGAGATGCCCACCTGCCCCCCAGGCCCTCTTTGATCTGTGTGATGCTGTTCTCCAGGGCAGGGGAGTAATGGACCCATTACCTGCGGAAGGCACCCTTTAAAAGGAAAATGGTTTCTAGGGGTGCTCACAGCCTCCTCCCCAGGCACTCTCTGCCCAGCAGCAAATGGGAAGGCCTCATGAGGTGGGTGGTTGAGAGAAAGGGAGTTGGGATTTGATGGACGAGGTTTTTCAACCTGATTCTGCTTCTGCCACACTGTGTGACCTTGGACAAGTTACTTAACCTCTCTGAGCTTCCATTTCTTCCTCTACAACCAGGGCTGCCTTTATGGGCATGTGACCTGTGCACACAGCCCTGCTTTTAGAAAGGTGTTAAGCTTGGTTTTGTGATCTGCTTTTGCCATCTTAAAATTTTAAATCATTTCTGAACAAGGTGCAGCATTTGCAGTTGGCAGCATTTGCAATTTGCATACCCCACAACGTATGGAGCTGGTGTTGGTTATAACACCCACCTCACTGGGTTATGGTGACACTTCATTGAGATGATGTCTAACTCAGGGGTCTCCACAGAAGTTGGCTTCCCGTTCTCTGATCTGGTCCTAAAGATGAATAGAAGTTTGTCAGGTAGAGAAAGGGCTGGGGAGGGTGTTTCAGGCAGAGGGGCCAGCATGGGCAAAGGTATGAGAATATGAAATTATATTCAGGGAAAGGCAAATGGTCCTGGGTAAGGTGGGAAGTGGAGAATGGAGATAAAACTGAAGAGACACATTGGGGTCAGAGTGAAAGCGTTTCTGGTTCTTTTAAAGAGTTTGGACCTCAGCTCTGAGGCCTGTGAGCAGAAAGCGCTAGGAAGGGGAGGCAGGTGGGCACTAAACATCAACACCCTTAGCCCACAGTTCGGCCTGGACTGGTTCAGGCAACAAGCCAGGCAGTGGATGGTGTGGGCAGGAGCCCTGCTTGGAGGCTGCCACTATGGCGTGTTTGAAACCTTCCCTGTAGACATGATGGGAAAATGCTGTAGGTGTCAAAGCCGGCAGCTGCACTCGGGGATTTGGGAACTCCGGGCCCGATGAATAATGGAACGGCCCTTCCTCCCTAGGTCTTTTTCTGTCCTTTCAATAATTCATGCATTCCACATTGGCTGAGAAGTTTCATAAAACCTCAGCTTTTGCTGAATCCCGGGCCAATCTGAGCAAATCGGATGGCTTCATGCATTAGGTCTTAATGAGGGACACACACACACACAAGCACATCCAGCTTTGCAGGATGTGCCTTGTGTTCAAGTGAAGGGAAATACCCAGTTATGTCTCAGAGGGCACAGGTCCAGCCGGGCCCCTTGGAGGTGAAGGTGGGAGCTGCCCTGGGGGGAACGGGTTGGTGGGGGAAGGCCCACGTGACCTGCACCCCCCAGAAGAAACGGTATTTTGGTGCTGGGCTTCCTATGGGAGGAGCTCCCTTCTTGCCTATTGAAGTCAGGCTTGTCCGGAGGGTCTGCTTTGGCCAATGCAATATGAGCGGAAGGGACATGCGTCATTCGCAGGTGGAAGGTTTAGGAGCCACGGAGGTCTCTGCCATCCTATTTTCCCTGCCTCTGGGATTGTGGAGACAGGCGAGCAACCCTATGAGCTAGGACAGTGGTCGGCAAACTGCGGCCCCTTGATTGTGGCTCTTCCACAAAATACCATGTGCGGGCGCGCACGTACAGTGCGATCGAAACTTCGTGGCTACACTCAAGGGGCCAAAGAGCCATCGCGAGCCACAGTTTGCCGACCACTGAGCTAGGACATTCCTGTTTCCTATTTCTAGGTGAGGAAATGGAGGCGGAAAGAAGTAATTCGCCCCAGAAATGGCCAAGTTATAGCACTCACTGGAGAGGGGCACGTTCAGGCTCCATCCGCATGGGCATCACTCATGCCTCGCGTGGGCAGAGCCACCAGAATCTTCAGGCCAGGGGTCAGGACCCAGGCTCACAGGGTCTGGTCTTAGTGGGGAGCGAGGGGGCCACACACTCTGGATAACTGGGCGGACAGGAAGGCTGGGGCGACAGGGTCACAGCCACGAGGTATCCAGGTCTCAAGGAAGACTGGACTTTAGGAAGCTAGAGAGAAGGAGCCACCGTCTTTCTCCAAGGGAGGTGGGGCCACCAGTGATGTTTCCTGTCTGGCTGGTTGGCAGGGACCAGACGGTGGGCCTGTGCTTTGGGGTGTGTTAAACTCGCAGGTGAGATGGCTTCCTCACCTGCTCTTCCCCGACTGTGGATTCAGTCCTGTACATTCCCTCTTTTCTCCTGGACTTGACCTTGCCGGTTGGGGAAGGGTCGACAGGGACACCCACTCTACCTCACTGGTCCCACCACTCAGACCTCAGCACATCTGTCCTTTCCCATCACCTCTCAGTTCAGTCTGAGCTGTTCTCCATGCCACCAGCCGACGCCCCTCCTCCCCGCTACGGGCCGTGTCAGGCCTCCAGGTGCAGCCTGTTAACTGATTTCCTTTCTTCAATTAGAAGGTGCCCCTCCTCCGCAGAGTGAGAAACCTGGAGGTTTCACACCCTGTTGCTGCCTATGTCCCTGCGAGGTGACTGGGTGGCCGTTTGGATTCCCACTGGCCCTGGTCCAAGCCGCCCTCCCTGCTCCCCTCTGACCAGCTGTTCAGCCTCTGCTCTGGTCATTTGTCCCCTTGGCAACGAGGTTATTGCTTATACAACAGTTCCAAAGGCAGGGAGCCCACCCACAGAATAAGACTCTCTCCATGCTGAGAAGTTGCAGGTTGTTCAAGAACACGACCCTGAAATGAAGGCCCCGGATGGGGGGTAAGACAGCGGGGGACAGGGAAGAAAGGGACCACAGCAGGAAAGGTCTGAAGGTGGGTCAGGAAGAGGGCGCTCGATCCGGTCAGCACCTGGACAGCTCCCTGCAGGGGCAAGGAGCCTGATGCCTGGGGGGAGGATCTTTGCAAAAGGTGATTGAGCCCCGCGAGCCCTCGGTTGTCCTTGTTCTCTGCTGAACCCTATAAAGACTCTGTCTGGTGATTCAGGACGCAGGGAGACACCAGTCTCATCTGAAACAAGCCCATGCTGCCGTGGGCATGGATTGCAGCAGCTGAGGTGTGACTAGGCCAGGGGACACAGGACTTCCTTAGAGAACTTGCAGGAGAACAGGACTCTGGTTGTAAGCTCAGCACCCTTCTCCATGGCGCCAAGGGAGGGCAGCTCAGTGCACCTGCACCTAAGATCCAGTCAGGTGACTGGCTGCCTCTGGAGGGGCAACTGCAGTGTGGACATCAGTGGGCGGGGGGTGGGGGGAGTGGGGGAGCTCCTATAACAAAGGCCAAGAGCCCTGTAGGGGGAGGGGGGGCATGGAGTGAGGAGAAAGGAAGGCCAGGAAACGGGAGCCCGGCTCCTCTTTCAGAATAAAGCCAGCAGGGCCAGGCTCCAGCCTCCCCCCTCCCCCCCCCATCCCATTACCTGGCTCCGGATGGAGATGACAGAAAATAGCGACTTACAGAGCCATTTCCTGGCTTTGAAGTTAATGAAAAAAGCTGGGATGACAGGAGTGAGGGTGGTTTTCTCCGCAGCAGCGTGTGGGAAGGCAGCTGTGTGTGCCTCTGAGAAGACAGATGTGCGCCCCCGGCCACCACCGTCCTCCAGCCCCGGCTCAGCTGGAGGCCCCTGGGCTCCCCGACTGGGCTGGTCAGGCCCCCTCCCCCAGGCAGTGACTGCAGCTTGGGGACAAGGACAACCTTTGGAGGGGCAGTCTGGCCGTGGGGATCAAAAGCATTGACACTGTTAGGACCCTTTGACCCAGCAACCCCACTTCTATGGATCTAATGATCAGTCTTCATCACAGCCTTATTTGTGATGCACAGAAATAGGAAACTCCCTAAATAGCTACTACTTGGGAGTCAATTAGGATGTTTGTTATACCCATAGGATGGAATACTATACAGCCATTAAAATCAGGTTTTCAATGTAAGGATACAGAAAGGCGGTCTTAGTATGTAAATAGTATTAGTATTTATTATATCCTTCTATGTATTTATTAGAGAGATACATGAGAATTTGGACCCAGAAATATTTACATCATATGACCCACTTTGTGAAAAAATGAAAT